TAATGTATACATCACAGTTCTACATCTTACTTGTCAGTTGAAGTTTTACAAACTAGAATGAAACTTTCTTATCTGTTTGAGTTGGTCATTTAAAAGAACAACAAATGATTCAGGTTTATCAGTTTTGATAAAAGAGTTCAAGCAGGTTGACTATATAAAGTGTAAGATAAAGAATAACTAAGCATCAGTAAACCCTTGAACACCAGTATACATGTATACACTGAAAAACAATGCAAGTTTTGTATTTGGAGAAATTGTTTAAAAAGAATCTTTCATTTCTTTGATGTATTCTGACACCTTCAAGTTCTTTCAAAGTATTACTGAACAGGTTTATGAAAGAGTAAATTTTAATTTTGATACAATGAGAGGGTTTGATGTTAGAAGTAGGAATGCAAACTTTGTGAGGATGGCTGATCTGATACCTTATTTTTCTAAATTACCCTATAAAGTGGACACTTATTCAATAAAAACAAAACAAACCTGTAATTGGAAATATGTAAATTCTGATTAAGTTAAAAGTAGTTATAATATAAAGTGTCTCTAAAGAAGAATAAAGAAAACCTTATTTTATGCACATATATTCCTAAACTTAAATTCATACTGACTGATTGTTTTTCACAGTTAAACTATGTTATACTATTACCTATTCATTTAACACTATTAAGTATACAGTGTTAATAATACACACAATTTAATATGTACTTTCATATATATTATGATATCTGATAACCTTCTATCACCTTAGAAATTTATGTGATGTATTGGAGGAATCAATGCCCAGCTTTCTGTTACCTTGTAAGTATATGCAATGTATTGGAGGAGCAATGCCTAACCTTCCATTGCCTTTGAACTGTATGTTAGTTAGTTTTCTCAGTACAGAGATACTTCTTACAAATATCAGCCTGATTACAGAACACTCTTCATCCCCTCAATGTTTTCAATTTATTATATGAAAATTAAAATTCTAGGTGAAATTGGAGAAACTTATAGCTTTGTGCTTTAATCCCAACAAGAAAATCATATGATTTCAAACTTTAATATTCATTTGTAAGTGGAAAATTTTATAAGCAACTGATATTGAAAATTAATTACCTAGTAAATTCTGACTGAGATACCTCAAGTTCAAAAGTACAGTCCATCTTCTGAAACTAGTGACTAACACTCTAACCTACCTTTCTATATCTTGCAGAATCACAAGCAATACTCACTGGTGACCAAATCCAAATAATATGAATAAAATATGTCTGTGATGGTATGATTTACACATACTACTTACTCCATAATGTCTTGAAAATTCTCATAGCATTTTATTTACTACTTCAGATATTTTTCTATTAAATACAAAATAAACTCATTCTATGCTTTAATCAATTCCTTTACTGTCTTTCTTTTATATGTACTTTCTACTGTAATCTATGAATAACAAATTGAAAGTTTATTATTTTTAATTTCTTAACTTAAATTACAAAACAATAACCTGAATTGAACATATGTAATTTTTTTCAGTAAAAGATAATTTTACACACAAAGATGAGAAGCAATTATGACCTAAAACAATATATAACAATATTATTAAAGGTACAGAATAGAAGAAAAAAGACCAATTAAAAAATACCTATTTTCTTATTTTATTGATTTCAAAAACCATTTTTTCTATCTGATATTGTATAAATTTATCAAATAATATTTAAGCAGTATTTAACACAATATGATTGACTTATGGAATGAGTTGCTAACTGACAGTAGAGAAAGCCAACACTTTACAAGAGTATAAGTGGAGAATTGATGATTTTATGAAAGTTTAAACATTTACTTTTTTCAAGGACGAGCAAGCAAGGACAGCCTTAAAGAACCACATGGTCTCTTATGTTAAAGTAGTAAATCATCAATAATATATGCATGACTATATTACTCAAAAAACAACAAAACATAATGAAGTCAACAGTCAAAAAAAAAAATCAAAAGGTTCACAATTAAACAAGTAGTCTTAATGGGATTAATACATATATCCATAATAAATCACTACCTATATGTAATAATCTTCTAGATCTAACAGTATTATCCACATGGGTAATTGAAATATAATTACTTTCTTCATAGTAAACTTTGGGGAAAGGATATATGCTAAATCAATTAGATAAGAAGTGTGCAACTTGAATTATATACAATGATTTAAATTATTCTTCATATTCATGAAATTCACATTCATTAATTGTTTTAAAAACTTGAACTCCAAACTTTAATTTTATCATCATTTATAACATTTCCCACAAATCCAATATGTCATATTTATTTGGGGTAATCACATTTTTATTAGTTTCTTTCTAACCAAGTTCAATTACAAGTTAACTGCAGATGTTTTTTGTTGTTGTTTTTGTTGTTTTAACTGGTCCATTGCAACTTGCAATCACAATGGACATATTAAAAGGAATGTGGAAAAATGGGAAAAAAAAACCTGTAGTTAACTTGTTTTAATAATAATTTTTAGGCTTACTAGTTTCTAATATTTCACTGGCTTTTGACATTTAAATAACAACATGTTTATTCTTGTCTAAAAAGATAAATTGAAATACATCCAAATAAAAGAAATAAGTAATTCCAATTTCAATTTACTTCTAACAAAATATCACTAACTTTGCATAGTACCTCATGCCTTTATAAAAAAAATCAATAAAAATTCAACAACCACAAATGGTACAAGTATCATACCTAAACTCTCAGTTCTATCAACACACAGCTGTCACACACAATATTCACATGTTTACTTTGAATCTGAAACGCACTTCAGCAAGCATCACTTTTGTTTTCTCATGCTTGAATTAACAAGACAATTATATACATACTAAATGAAATGTCCTGGCTCTTATTTCTTTATATAGTTATTGTTCGGTACAGATATATTAAAAAATATTTTTATGAAAATGGAAAAAGCAATGATGATTTTTTACTATTTAAACGGTCTTTTGTGGCTTGATCAATGATTTTTTTCATAACAAAAACTTTGAAGAACACTAATGTGCAGATACCACAGCTCTTCAATAAGTTAGCAAACTGTTAAATATACCTATAGATTATAGAATTATTTTACAAATATGCCAAGTACAGAATAAGAACTTATCATTCCATCATATAATTCTAAAACTCAAACAGGTTATCTGCATCTGCCAATGTTGTTTTTGGAAAAATAATGGTGCAAAATGAACACAGGGGTATCATAGATCTCATATACAATCTAGAAAAATTCATTTCCAACCTCTGTTATTACCATTTGGTCTAGTATGCATTTCAGTTAGAAAAAAACAACAGATTATTATTATTATTGGATGAGAAACAATATATAGGTACAGATAACATTTAAAGAGGATACAGATATAAGTTTTACTTTATGCATAAGTAACTTTCTCTTGCATTTAGTGATATTTGGAATGGGTACTTATATGAATATACATAGTGTTAAAATGTGCAAGAGATCAACTAAAAATCTTAATGACTTCAATAAAGTTTTAACGCCTGTTATTTTTATTTTTGTCTATAACAATTCTGTTATAAGTCAAATGCTAGAATGCTGTCAAATATTAGTTAGTTAACAGTAATTCAGTCTCAAAAATCTCAACAAATACTGAAAAACCAACTTTAATGATACTGCATATTGCTTACATTTCTACTTCAATCTAAAGAACTTAATAACTAAACTCCAAATGTATAGAATATCATACAGTTAATTAAGTTTTAAACAGGTATAACCTTTCATACTGATTAATTACTTGATATCAAAGTTAGAGCCAACAAAAACTATTGAAACATAATTAATCGATCTCTTCTAAACAAAGATTATATAACTCAAAACAAATGAATTGCAGATTATGTTATTAGAAACAAAATCACTTCTAAGCCCTTCTTAGAAGCCAAAATGTCACTTCTTGTAAGAAACCAAAATCATACAATAATTAGAAGTTTCACTATGGCAACATAATTTATAAACAATGTGAAAACTATCTTTCCTAGTTCATTGGAGTTTTACAATAAAGTAATCAGTTTATAAAATATGATTTCTAAATACAAAATATATATATTTTAAAAACACAAGCAGTATACAATATAAATAGTTTATAAACAAAGTTTTAACGTAACATATAGACAACAAGGAGCCATTTAATTATCTAGTCTTTCAAAGCTGTGCATCCATGCCCACTCTTGAATCTACTACAAATTACTCCCCCCCCCTTTATTTGTTGGTAAATTGTTAATTCCTCTCCTGAATTTTTATAAAATGCCAGCCGCTACTACTGGTATATTATAGCAATGAACTTACAGTGAAAACAAATTTATATTAATGATTTATTTGTATACTACAAAACAATTCTTTTCCAGTATTTTTCTTCCCTCATAACCTTCCTACCCTAAATTTGTAGAAATAGGTCGTACATATAGAAAGATATCTGCATCATTGCCTAGTTTGATGTTTATGGATGCGCCAAGAATCTTAATATTTAATTACATTCTTTGAAAAATAAAATAGTTTCATTATTTAGAAATATACTAAACAGGCCTAAAACACTGCATTTTTAATAATGTTTAATTAATTGTAATTTTAATCTATGTTCACTATAGTCTATAGCTATTCCAATTTTCAGATTGAGTGATAATCATATTGATAATTTTTCTGCTAAAGACACGCAGTTATATATTTGAATTAATTCCTAACTATATAAAAAAAATTAAACAATTTAAAAATAAAGCCCATTTTTAATGCAAAAAGAAGAGATAAACAAACCGCAACTACTTGCAGTAAGCCGAGTATAAAATGTATACAGTTTCATAATTGTACTTAAAAGTTAAAGAATCAGAAACGCATTCCATAACGCTCAGTCACGTTGAACATGAGAATTACCTAAAGGTTAAATACAACAAAATCTATAACTTATTTAATGTAATATTATGATAACTTAAATAAAACTTGTATTGTTGCAAGTCTAACCATGCTTATTGGGTCTACTCACATCATCCCATTTCACGAATTTGTTCCCATCTTGTAGGTTTTGGGGCACACTTATGGGTTTCAGCTGTACCACGTGAACACCAGATTTAGCACCAGCCATAACTCCACATTGGATATGGACAGTTTTTTAAAAGTAAACTTAAGTCTAGAGAAAATAGTTTCATGAAAAACGAAGACACCGCATAGTACAACATACACTTTCAGTCTCTACGCACAACAAGCGTTCACACTAACAAATCAAGACACTTCCAAGCTACACAACAGTACTATAAGAAAAATCGAAAATACAATTTTACTCCCTAGGTGGCAATACTATCGAGTACACTACGTCAATTTTTTTTTATTATTATTTGAGAGTTATGGGGGCGCCATCAGCAGATGATATGCCCCCAAATTCCCTGATCTGACTTAGTTGAACTAGATACCTTCAGTTAGTAGTTACATATATACAATTTATTTATTTTTTATCCTTTTTTTTTTGGTTTTTTGTTGTAGTTAATTATGTTACACTAAAAATCCTACAATGTCAAGTTACTGGAAGAAAACATATGGAAAAAGTTTACATAGTTAGTTCTTCTCGACTGGGAGCGACTCCTGCTGTTGGAGACAAGGATAAAAGAAGTAGCCCTATTAGTAAAAAGAAAAGGACATTAAATTTGTATGTTATTTGTTATAACGAAGTTATATATTTCGGGATAGAGACAATTCGTAGTTAATAGAGAGAGGTAGGTAAAAGGGACTTTTATGTTACCCATCTGTTGTTTTATGTCTGCTCGATCTCTTTGGTAATATGTACAGTCCATGAAAGCGTGTTCTGGGTCTTCAAACTTTGAACAATGGCTGCATTCACCATTTGGGGGTACTTTTATTTGGTACAGATGTCAATTTAGACCTGTGAAATTAAACCGGAGGCGTGTAATAATAACTTCTTGATGTCTGTTAGTACATTCATACTTGATGTGAGAAAAAACAATAGGAACAATTTTCTTGTAGATATTGGAATGTTGCACGGAATTCCATCTACGCTGCCAGGAATCTAAAATGAATTGATAAACTTGGCCATAGAGGTCACCAAGTTCAATAGAAACGTTTGTGACCCCAGGATATGCTAACGCATTCTTGACACTGAATCCCTGGATTCCTATATGGCTAGGGACACAAAGAATTTTGATAACCATACGGCGACATAATCGGATAAGGTATATAAATACTTCACTCAGTAACATTGGGTTAGATGTAAAGGAACCGTTCTTAATCGAAAGTAGTGAACTTAAAGAATCACTGACTATCAGAGCCTTCGTAACCTCGGAATCTTCCAGCCACAGAAGGGCTTGTAAACAGTTCAGCCTTATATATAGAAGTAGGTGCAGTTTTCAATGATTTTCTGATATTGAGGTTGTTTATATAAAATGTCGATGAAGTAAAACTGGTAGACTTGGAGCCATCCGTAAAGATACTACTATAGTCCTTTTGGCCAAGGACAAAAGCAAAT